TGGCAAACACACACTGACACAATATAATAATATCGTCTACGCATCATATATATTATTATAACATTGTATTATATTATACGGTCATGCCCAAACACACTCGTGCAGCAGCGGCAGACACACTGCAGCCGGACGTATAAATCGCAATCAGAGCGGCTGCTGCGAGAATACTTCGTACGTTGTTCTCATGGAACTGCTGCGACTCACGCTCGTGCTGCCGCCGTTGGCGTTCTTCTTGTTCTGCGGCCGCAAGCAGATGGACTTGACCAACGTCCAGTGCTGGAGCACGTACAGGTAAGGGTCCAGCGCGAAGTGCATGGCCAGCAGCATGTCCGCGGCGATGTAGAACGGCCGAATCTTTGCCTCGTCGACCATGAACCTGGACAGCGGTATCGATATCTGTCGTGGAGCACACGCGTACGCGATACACAAATTAATGAATAATTAATAATACCATCTTATCCWGCAGAACACGAGTTAAGAGCAGGAAATGAAAAAGAGATGAGACCTGCATGCAGATTATTGCAGGAGTGTAGACGTTATGTCCTTAACCCATTATGGACCATATGCGTACAATAGATAAGAATATGGACAAATTTAGCATTCACAGCAAAGGGCCTAAATGGTCTGTAGAGCTTAAAAAAACATTTTTTTTTAAATACAGTAAAACTTCGTTAAGACGGAATCGCTTAGGACCGTCCAATTATTCCGTCCTAACAGAGTCGTTTCCGACTTGACGGGGGTTCACGATCATTATGTATTTGAATTGGAACAAAAGAAATTGTTCGGATCATCGGCCGGGCTTCCGTCTTACCGAATACTGTATATATTAATACATCGTATTGTTGCGTATCTAATAAAACGAAATTAAATAAATAATTTTTTTTTTTTATTTTGCCAACAGCCAATCTCATCTACATGAACTATATTGAACCAATTTCAATAAGAGTATATTAAATTAATAGATACTTCGAAACTCGTCGGTGGGGGGAGAGAGTGGTTAGAGTTTGTTTTCAACCCCTACGGAACCCCTAGAATAACTAACGCATGAATTTCGTTTTGGCTACTGAAAATCAAATGATTTTATGTTTATTWTTTTTTTTTTAGATAAGGTTGCTGCCATTAACTACAAAAATAAAATCTAAAAGTTTCAACTAAAGCCGAACCCGCCAAGCGCCGTAAATATAGATTTTTTTACAAAAAAGACAATACAATATTTAATACCTAGTTTGTTTGTTATTCAAATGGGGTTAGTTCACTAAGYAAGATACACCGATGTCGATTTTCTAGTGAATTTAGGTACACACTACAAGCTGGATACACCGATATARGTAGTACCGTATTTTATGTTTGTTCAAGTTTTCCCCGACAAAGTCGTGTAGTCCTACAGCAGCTAATAGGTATACGTATCAATTGTTATAAATAACGCATCATATAATAATACAGGCTGCTTAAAAAATAAGGGTGGGAAAAACTGAAGCGCGGAAAAATAAGCAAGCTAAACGAGACCGACACCTACCGTTGTGTAAGGGTGGTTGGGTAGTTTTTTCAGTTTCCGTTAGATGTCTCTTGGCATGTTATTCTATAATATATCTGTGATGGGTATAGAAATGCTTTCGTTTTTATCAGTTCTTAGCAGAAAAGCTTGAAAAAATCGTTTTGTGAAACCAAATATGCGTCGTTAAGGTGCCTATGTAGTGGGGTCACATCGAACATTTGAAGATATTTTTTGAATGATATTGTGTTGTACCCGGAAAAAATTTCACCAGAAATCACTATTGTTTACAGTAATTGTTGGTAGATGGTTATTTTTTGCAAGGCGTCTTTTTTAAAATATTTATGTTTTTTCAAAATTTCTCGCATCTTTTGTAAACACTATGTACATTGTGTAATTCGGCGTTATTGAAATAGTATATTATGTACTATATAATACTGAATTACGCACTTTAGGTCTGTAGTCTGTATAGAGCCTACTTGGGATAAGGCAGCTGTTAGAAGATATGTGTAGGCGGATGTCCCCGGGGTGACATTCAACATTTTGATCGAATTCCGCAACCCACCCAATAAATATAATACGCATTTTCAAACGACAACAATCTATAGCAAGTCTAAGACATTAATCATTTGAAGTTATATATAGTTAATGTCGGAACAAATTCTTGGACTTTTTTTATAACTAATTTATTTATTTAAACTTAAAATTCGAGAAACACCGCTCTAAATATTATGCACTATTCGCACACACATTTTATACTTTTATGGTGTATTAAACCTGTAAGAAAAGCCTCGGAATTAATTAATTATCAGACACCCTCAWAACTTTYAATCTAGTTTCGTTCAAAATGCCATAACTAAATAATAAGCAATAACACTAAAAACTTATAAATGTACACATTTTTGGGAATGCAAATCTCAATTATGTAATCAATATAAAATTTTAATCTGAAAGTTATAAAAACGTGGAGATAATGATAATAATATTATCGGAACAAAAATCCACCTATTGTTCAATATTCAGGGTCTTAAACTAACAGCGCAATATTATTTTCGACGATTAAAATAATTGTATTTAACGTGACATTAACACTCTCGTTGACACACAGTACGACACACGCATGCGTATAAACAATTAGAAGTAAAAACGAAAAAAACATTAAAACATAACGCCGAAAAATAATTGCGTTATTTCAAATTTTCAGAATGCAATTTTGTTCAAGAAAAATTCACGGAAATGAGATAAAACTTATCTTATAATATTTAATGATTTATTAGGAATATAATAATATAAAATCATGTTATTCAACAGAAAAAAAAATTGCACACAAATAATGTCAATTACAGTGTTGTTCTTCTGCAGTACTGTTCGCTAAAAAATGTCGTCTATATGATTGCGTTCGTAATACCTATCAATTATAATCTCTAATACCTAGGTACCTATATATAGTATTATTGTCTGGTACACAACAACTGATAACGGGAACATTTGTTGAAATCATAGTTTCTCTATATGTCATTTTTTTTATATAGATATATTTTTTTTACTGAATAAAACTTTTTGTTTTCTAACCAATTTTAGGTAACTTTTTGTGTTATCCTTTTAGAAACGCAAATCAATAATAATCTGTGATTCTTCATTTTTTCTAGCAGAGGAAAAATATTTAGTAGCCTTTTTTTTTTTGTGGACGTGTAAAAGCAGGACATCGAGCACTTTTAATACTTAGAACTTTTAAGTTACCTATATTGCATTTTTCGTGTTTTTATGCAAGCATATAGAATAATAATAAAAAAAAATATGATATCTGATAGGCATAACATAATTGTACAGACGTAAAAAATAATTCTATTAAATTGTATTTCTTTATCTAATTGTATTATTTACAATCACAAAATAATAATAATATGGGCACTGCATATTATATAAGGTGGATAGTCTGATATAAATTATGTATWCATTAATCAGTTCCATCACTGCAGAGCTTGACTACAAATTAGCTGGYCTCTGGGATAGGATAAAAATACATCAAATATTTGATTGAAATTCCACTGTTATGAGTTGTGAACTGCACGATTGCATCATATTTGCAAAGCGGGTATATAATAATACGTTATAGTCTATTCATCGGTTGTAAAATCAGATGTCAAAATCAAAATTTTTCACGTTCTATATTATTAAATTGACTTATTATTATATGCATAAACAATTTTTTCATTAAATATTTGATCAAAGCCGTTTTTAATATTTTGTTGTTTTTTTCATATTAGCTTTTGACTTATTCGAGTTAAATTTATGATTTATTGTGAACTTTCAACATAATATCGATATCGCAAGAACACATATTATTGTGTTCTATTAATTAAACTTCAGCTAATTGGTTTCATTACCCAACAATTGCCCACCTCTGGACGGATCCCCATTAGCAATATAAATGTATAGTATAGATAATTATTTAGTATTWTAATATTATTATCGCATTTACCATTTGTGGAACCCAACATGTGACAAACGCGACGCACAGGAAAAACATGAGCCAACCGAACGCTCTTTCTTCTTTGGTAGCTGCGTTGCAGGTCAACGACGACCCTCGGCTTATGCGTCTCATCAACACGTTGTGCTTGTTGTGAGGACTGTCCTTCATGCACAGAGCTTTCATGACGGCTAAGTTCGTGTAGACTATTGCAAAGCATAAAAACACGCCTACATTGTAAAACACAAAAAACGGAAAGTTGATATATTTGGCCTAAATATATACCAATAATATTTATTTAAGCATATTATAACATAACATTAGGTAATATTATAACAGATGAATGTGTTCAAAGTCGAATTTAAGTCTTCACTATACTGGAATAATTTTYGAATTTAGCGTGTTATTTTTAAACATAACTGATTTCCGATCAGAGGCCTGAATCGTCTTATAGATTTAAAAAAAATTTAATATTTTTTATTAAAGGAAACTTTGTTTACAATTTGTTTTGACAATTATAATATTACAAAGATAGTACGTAAAAAAATTTTAGTATTTGCTCTGATATTATGATAGGTTTTTAAGTAAAATGTAAAAAAAAAATTTTAATCTAACTATTTATTTGATATAAGGGTTCAGCTTAGTTCCAATATGTTTTCGATACTTTATTGATTTTTACCTTATTTATATTCATTTGTGTTCCGATRTGGTTTAAAACTTCTTCATTTGTATATAWTTTTTAATAAAACCCACAATCTCCTAATTAAACGTCAATAAAAATGTTTTGTGTTACTTTTGATAAGATATTAATTTTTGGAATCTAAAAAACTGCAATATATTATGATATTATCTACAGCTAGTATACAATAAATCATTAGATAATAAGCTCTGAATCATACTGCAGACATGGGATTTATTTCAAAACGATATTTCCGCGGTACCTATATTTTATCGAAACGAGGAAGTAAATTTATTTTCCTTTCAATAATTCCAAACCATTTTATTATTTTTTTTTWAACTAATTGCTCTTAGATCAGATTACCTATTACTTACCATGGCCGAAATATAAGTAAGCGTATAACACGTCCAAAGGCTTCTTGGCATTTCGGTAACGCACACACGTTGACGTTGTCTCATCCCAGTAAAGACCGAATCCAAAGTATGGCGCGCACACCAAACACAGTACTCCTAACCAAAGAATGACCATCATTCGTTTAAGTAGACGAAGGCTAATGTGCTGAAATCACATGTATTTTACAAATTAGTTTATATTCAAGCGGAAATATTACACAGTATAAAATTAAATAGTACGATTTCAGACAATATTTATTTRGACATACGTAAGGCCTGTAAAGGCTATAGCGAAAGTACTTGGTAGAAAATGCGCAAATCGTTGCTCAATCTTCCCTTAAATTAGGTATCAGAGTTTTTCAAAGAACCCTGCTAGATGGTGTTTTGTATGTTAGATATATTGAATTTATTGAACCKATTCAAAAAAATGTATATGAATTTTTGTTTTCTATTTCAACTATATTTTGGGATTATAAATGTAGGTTATTTATATATATTTAAACGTATATGGCTTTTATTATTTATTTATTGATATTTAAATAACATCGGCGTAAAAACCTATTAATTGACTTAAATGTACATTTAAAAAAACACCTAGATAGATATTTTCCCAGAGTGTAGTGACGATTCTGTTTTTCATGAAATTATACACATTTTAACTTTGTTGTATATGTTAGTGGGAGGTTGTAGGTGTATTAGTTTCATATTATGTCATTATGAAGCGTTTGGCTGTAAGAGTATCGTTCCACATATTATGCATGTCGGTTAAGTCTGGTAATTTCTTGCCATTAGGAATTCACRAGTTTATCTTTTATGACCAATATACGATGTCTGCAGTTTATGAGTAGGTATAAGGATTTTAATTGACCAATTTATCTGCGCGAGGCACACAGAACTAAATACTTTTATGCATAAATGTTATAATGTTTACTATACTTATAAATTATTTGTTGGCCTAAACTCAAATATATGTATGCACAGGTATAATTGTCCTCAAACATAATCATAATAATGTAAACGAGTAGCAGGTACACTGCATTGTACACAATATATGTAAATTGCAATAAATATATCGAACTCGCCCAATGCAGTCAGTGTTTTAYGTTTATACGAGCACCAAATACTATTATATACTTCATATTATAGCTCAGCAAACGTACCATAAAATATATGGAGCTAAACAAACATTCGCAAAAACATATGATACATCGCACTACACGGGACGTCCCGCTCAAAAATCAAAAGTTATATTAAAAGTAATACGCGTCCTTTACAATTTTCCCTGTCTAGCTTAATATATTATATTGGTAATACTTTAACAGCTGGTGCACACTTAGGTAACTGCAATAGCTAGAAACGTTCTGTGTAATGTTATATGTTTTGGCAAACATTATACCTAACTATTTAATAATGCGGACGGCCGATAAATCGATCTGACTATAGTCTATAGAGCAATGGACATAAAATGCGAATCACTATTATATAATATATCATGGTCGTAATTCCATTGAAACGGAAACATATTTTGGCTCGTCAAGTCAAATATGAACTTGTACATAGTATAATAYGATGAGGCATCGACGTATACTCGTATAAATAGCATTTGATTGTAAGTAATATATCATTTACGAATACTAATATAATATATAAACATATTATATCGATAAATTCATCGCTTTTAGTCAAATATAATATGTAGAGCAAACATACTTCGCGTATATACATTTTTTTTTAATTTGAATTCGAAAAAAAATATTTCTAMGCCCTGCTGCAGATTATGGAATGGAACATTTGACAAATCTGCCAGTGTCCGAACACGTATATCCTATACATTTTCTGAAATACGAGCCGTACATATTATAGGTAGGTATATGATGGCAGAGTTTTTATTTCAATATGTTATTAGGATGCATGTAAAGATATTTTAGATTTCAAAAGGAACYTTTTTTGTTCTATAGTTTTGGATAAAATAGGAGTACCTACTATTCAATAGTTAAACTCTTACATAAAAAAAGTAGTGTTCAAAGTAGTGAGATTTACGCTATTCTTACAACGAAAAACTTGTAGACTAACTACTCATTTAACTTACCAAAAAAAATTTACAAGACTAAAATGACGCCTATCACTTCCAACCACACAGTGTGTATAATCCTATCCGTCTGCTGTAGTTACTCAGCGGCCACCTACTCGGCCTGATGATTTCAATAAGTGATAACTCGTATATAATGTCGGTGATGCAACAAACGGCGTCTAGTGATATGACCATACCAACTGTATTTTATATATGATRATAAATATATTTTATAAATTAATGCCAATCATACTAAGCTCTCATCACTGCTCACGAAGTCTACGTGATCGACGCCACATATTATATAAAATAGATTAAATCCGCTGCAGCGGCGCGGACTTAACTATTMCGGCGTAGCGTTTCCGTCTCGCGTTAAAATAACGACTTACGAATGTAATATTGGCATCACACCATAGTATTATTGTTATTATTTTTATTATTATTATTATTATTATTATTATTATTATTATTATTAGATACTGCAAAAGCAAACAATATTATAAACGTTAACTGTTGGCCTGCGCGTGAGTAATTAAAACGTTTCGCAGATACACACACACACAAAGTAAAACACGTGTCGTTTTCTCCTCATCAGGTTCGTTTGGAGAACAGTATATTCATGGGTAAAGGTAGTCTTACAATATTATATTTTATGTTAACCTCGTACAATAATAATATATAATATTGTTGTGCATATATACAGGCGCTGTATCACTGCTGTATACATTCATATAGGTATACACCTACAATATATWATATATGAATATATATATATACGTAATATATATGTATACATATACACACACATACACATAACTCTACTACGGTATTACTATGTCGTCCGAGTCGCCGTTGCAACGCCAATATTAACGAGACTGGCATAATATTCGCACTGTGAATATAAAACACGAATAAAAGTCGCACACATTTTCTTTTACCGGCATGTCATTATTATGATTTGTTGGRAGTTTTTCAGGCGCAAAAATAAAGATCTTTCATAGTCCATCGGAAAAGCTATATAATGTTGAACGGAAACTTTCGGCACTCCTCCGTTCAACCAATCCAATAWTGGTGTGCACTATAAGCTATCCGACAATAAGCTATACTATATCCTATTTATCCAGCTGTAATAGAACAAGATAATAATAATTATCAAACACGAAATTATTATTCAGTTTGCAGTGGGTATATAGCGAATACAAGGGAATAGCTTTTATTGAAATGAAACGTTGTTCGATAAAGAATTAAACAGATCGTGTGGATTTGGACAGCAAGCTATTCTMATTATTATAGGTACAAGATAGAACTGACTTTTGAAAACTTTTATTCAAATTAATACCATTTAATTTTTTTTATTTTCATTAAGAGACCCTAGCCCTTCATGTATAATATTTTATTATGTATTTATTTATGTTTTTTTTTTTTAGTACTGAAAATAAAAAAATTTTAATATAATGAAAAATATTTTGGATTTATTCAAAACAGCTTATTTGTAAATCTGATTATAAGAATAATTTTGATGGCAAAAAGATTTATCCAAGTCAAGTAGTTTACTTTTTGGATTTTTTTAAACATGATTTTTGAGGATTTKCTGACATGAATATACTTCTTAAATTATTTACTTATCACATAATATTAACAATTTTCGTCATACGTTTAATTAACATATTTTTTTWATTTTTTTTTTCAGGTCTTTCTGTAAAACCCTGTATAAAAGTTACACGTCATCACAATGTCCGATGTCAAAAAATATATAACCCGTATATCCAGACAAATTTGATTTATATGAAAGTCTAAGGCCAAAATATACCTATACATAATTAAATTATAATATATTTTTAAATAACAATAATATGTGCTGCGACTGTAATGAGTTTATTGACGAATTCGATTACAATAAAACGCGTATAGTATACTATAATATAGGTGTCGTGACGAATTCATTATATACCTAATTTAGTTCCTCCTTCCTGCCACGGTAAACGGAAAAGAAAAGATTTCTGTGCTTGCGTGTGCGTACATTGTGTATATATATATATAYASWRTAYAMAAWATRTRWWATATATATATATATATAACATATTTTGTTTTTACTAACGACCTTCAGTGTCATTAATCCAAGACTTTGCAGTTTGCTTGTATATTGTAGTGTCACAAACAGAATAATAATTTTTAATCGGCAGAAATATAATATAATAATAATTGCATTGTTTGTTTTCATCACCTAATACGTCTATATATAATGCATGTCGTGTTTTCATCAACAGACATACATTTTCTCGAGTAAAAAACTTACACACCACCAGCCGAACACCGTTTTTATTTTTATCTGCTTTTCCACACTCGTGACTTATATATATTATATATTATATACATTGATCAAAGGTCGTACATAGAGACTCGAGTGCATCAAAACTTATCTCAAGACATTTGAGATATTTTTTTAGCAGCTCCCGTCCATTGCTTTTTCAATTAATCCCCCGCGGATTATATTTACCAATTCCAATAAAAAAATAAAAAATAAGCCAATTGATTCGATAATAAGGTCAAATGAAACCAAACCCAGTTATCCTATATACATATATATACAGAGTCATTTTGATAACTGATAAAACATTGCAAAATGTAAACAAAATATTAAATAATATTGATCACATCTTGGTTTATTAGGAAAAATAATAATAAAAAAAATTTTACTGTAGTAATTATGTCACAATACTTCTATTATTTATGCATATATAGATTATGTGATTATGTAATATATAATAGATATTATGACATTATGTAAATATTCTACACGATTAAATAAATTATTAAATTATTTTAACAACACGCAATATTTAAATTTAAGTACCTTCTATGCCTATAGTTTTTAATAATTTATATATTATATTATTTATATTTATATTAGATGTTAATAGATAAGACAAAACATTGTTTACAAGTATCTACTTGAGGTTTGTGTGAGGTTCTTATTGTTGTATGCAATGTTTAATGACTATTGCATAACCCAATATATGATTAGGTAAAAAAAAAAAAAAAAAACGTGGAGAATTAAAAATTCACAACTTTCTGTAAATGCAATATATGGCCAT